AGCCGCCGCAGGTGCTCATCGCCTCACTTAATCAGGCAGACCGAATCCAAGCTTTCTTATTGCCATGTTGAGGGGAGGCCTTTCTATTTCTCTATTTCTCTATCTCCGGGCATTCCTATTTCTCCCATTCCACTTCTATCTTCCAGCATTCCTATTTCTCTCACTTTACTTCTAAAACTTCTGTTTCTCTTATCCCCGCAGCTTCCCGGCACCTCGCCCTGCCGCCCTGCCGGCAGGCTCCGCCCCGAGGCTATTTCTCCGCGGCTTTCCGGCTGAGCCGCTTCAGCCCGCTTTGCGCGCACACTCCGCAGTCTCGCACTTAACCCTTTCGCGTCTGAACCACGGCCTCGCGCCAGCCCTGTTCCCTATCTATTCGAGCCCCGCACGCTCTGTCTGCGCACAGCAGCCTCCGCGAGTCACACAGCGTAGCTTACGTGTCCACCACTAGCATTCAATCCAAGTTCCCCGGGCTAGCCTGGCGAATTCACCCAGCATACGTCTCCGCCCCCCCGAATTGGCTTTCCCGCCTTTTGGCCCCCGGGGGTAAATCAGAAGGGACCCCAAACCGGGGTTAAGTTTTCAGCTTCTGGTTTAAATTTTTCGCCCCCCAATTCCGGGGCTAATTTGAAAACCCCAAAGGGGTTTTGGTATCCCCCTCGGCCCTGCCCCCGGGGTTTCAATTTCCCTAACATTTTTCTCTACCCGGTATGTTTCCCCAAGCTTTCCTCCAACAATATTCCTCCTTCATTTCTCCTGGCCTCTCCCCACAGTCCGTATCCGAGTCTGTTTGTTCTAGCTTTCACTTTCGCTTTCGACCTTAGAGATTTCTCCCAGCTTCCCCCTGTAGTCCGTATCTGAGTCTATGCCTAGGCTTTCAATAGCTTCTTCCGGCACCTTTATCGTCCGGCTTTTCCCTAGGCTGTTTGTTAGTCTCTCTCTCCGATATTTTCCCTAGGCTGTTTGCTAGTCTCTCTCTCCGATATTTTCCCAGTTCTTCCCGTTTCTTCCCTCCTAAGTTTCATATCCGTCCTAGGTTTCCTAATCCGAGTCATTTCTTCCCTCCTAAGTTTCCTATCCATCCTAGGTTTCCTATCCGAGTCACGGCACCATTATGTCGCTCCCCGTCTTCGTGGAGGAACGACACAGGACCCTGCACTGTTCTTTTGTCTGCTCGGCCCTTCCCGGGTTTGCTGCTGGTTCTTCCCGGGCTGGCTACTGACCCTTCCACCTCCGTGGAAGGGCGGTTCCCCCTAGCCACTTTTCCCCACTTCCGCGGGGGAGCGGCACACCGCCGGCCGGCTCTCTCGGGGGCTGCACAGGTGTTCCTCTTAGATGTTCCCCTTAGATGTTCCTGGTGCATGCCGTCTCTCTCCTCCTTTATAGTCCTCCTCCGCCAATCCCAAATCGGCTGCCCACACGCCGAGTACGCTGCTCTCTAATCAGGAGCAAGTCCTACAGTTTATTGGTTGAACTGGAGGCAGCTGTGCGGAAGCTGTTTACTTCTCTCCCAGCGCCATATTGTGGGAGAGCAGATGCATAGAATAAGTCTTAATTCCAGCAACTTAGTCCAGTCTGGATTGCTCCCCACAACCCATTAAATTGTGTAGGACAGGAATCAGCAAGCTTTTTCTGTCAAAGGCTAGATAGGTAATAGTTTAGACTTTGTGAGTCATATGTTTGTCAAAACTACTTAACTCGGTTTTATAGTATGAAAGTAGTCATGGACGATATGTACACAAAGGAGCATGGCCATGTCTGAAAACTGTTTATGCACACTAAAATCGAATTTAATACTTTTCACATATCAGTAAATACTTTTTTTTTTCAGTGTTCAAGCATTGTACTCACATTATATACAGAAATGGACAGTGGGCTGGATTTGGATCTTAGGTATATACATAAGATGAATGAGCTCATGTCCATCATAAAGCACTTACAGCAATGTTCACAGCAGCTTTTTTCATAATGGCCCCAAAGTGAAAACAACCCAAATGTTCATGACAGAATAATGGATAAAAATGTAGGTATATTCATTAAAATGGATTATTATATAGCAATGAATAAGAATGAACTATGTCTATTTCCAATGCATTAGATGATTACTAGAAGAGGATAAATATTGTATGTGTTGAGGCTGAAACTGTGGGGTAGTGGGTAAAGCCGCCACCAGCAGTGCTACCATCCCACATGGTCACCGGTGAAAGTCCTGGCTGATCCACTTCTGATCCAGCCCCCCACTATGGCCTGGGAAAGCAGTCCTTGGACCCCTGCACCAGCACGGGAGACCAGGAAGGAGCTCCTGGCTCCTGGCTTTGGATTGGCCCAGATCCAGCCATTGAAGCCATTTGGGGAGTGAACCAGGGCATAGAAGACCTCTCTCACTGTCTCTGACTCTCTGTAACTCTTCCTTTCAAATAAATAAATAAATCTAAAAAAGTTGTATGTTTCCATTATACAAAATTCTAGATAATGAGGCCCAATGTTGTTTACCATTTATTATTGCGTTTATGCTGCTGATGTTTTTTTCTAATGTGTTGAGGAAATTGAAATATTTCTTAAAATCAGTGTCTACATCAAATATGGAAAAACAAAAGATTTCCCCCTTAATATTTAGAGATCATATTATTTTACAAGAGTCATAGTTTTCTTTGTGGAAGGGAAAAAAGTCATTTATATTTAATATACAAAGCATTTCTATGTTCAAAGAATACAACCTAAGATTCTATCATGAAACAAATTATTGCCTCTGTCTCTTGGCCCCTATGAACATTTAATCTGAACAAGTTCTGTGTTAGTTTAATTAAAATTGGGAGAAAAGACTCTAACCAACTACTACAAACTAACCTTCTTCTGTGATTACTTGAATATATTACTGCATAGCAGAGACTTCATTAATTTTCCAATAAAGTTTCACTATCAGATTTGGTGTATGTATGACTAGGAAAAACATTAAGACTGAAAACTTACAAACTGGACTTTGATCTTTTACTTTTTAAAAGCTTGCAGCAGCTTGAGGAAAACCAGTCCCTTCAGGAAAGTTTGTAATGATAAGAATCTCAGGACTTTTGGTTACAGTTCTTAAGGGAGAGTTGTTTACAATCACATGACCAAAGAAAGTATTAGAAGAATTTAGTTGGATTTTGTGTTTTGTTGTTGGGTGGCTGTCTGATGGAGAGAATTGTGTTTCCTCAGTGAATGGTTATAGAGAAATTCTAGTCAGGGTGAGAGAATGTATGAAGTGACAGTGTCCTACAGGGTATCTGGGAGTCATATCTAAGTCTTAGTAGAACACTTACTGTTTATAATACTACAATTGTATTCCATTGTTCCCTGCAGTTATCTGTTGAGTGACAGTAAAACACTGGTCAGGGAGCTTATAAATATTGAACGTCTATTTCTGTTTTTCCCCTCAAGAACTCCTTGGAAGTAGAGTCATTCTCTTGTGTACAGATTGTTTTATACTGTCTTCTTCCATCTTTTTATATTCCTTGTGTGCAGACTGAGCTGAAACAAGTATCTTTCTGAGAACAGAACCATAGGATTAGCTTATATTTGATTTACTAAGAATCTAGAGTTTCTTTTCTCTTGCTTGTTTGCTTTTGAAGTCCGTTCCTGCCTTGAGTGCTGGAGAGCTGCCCGAGCTTGAGAAGTATTAAAATGTTAGAAATGGTGGCCGTCCTCTCTTCAGAAGAGAGTCTTGGTTTAATTTTCCAGAATGGTTACTCTATTTATGTCTCTTGGGCCCTTGGTTGATTGATCACACAAGGATTTGTCATTTGCTTGCTTCTTTGAATCAAATGTGGACATAGCAACTAAAAATAAACATGATGTGGATATTAGAGAACCAGGGGCTTTTTTGGCCCGGGGAGCTAGGATACTTGTGTTGCTAAGATGTTTTCTGGCTTTAGCACAGCATCAATCATTGCAAGCGCAGCTGTGCTTTTGGAATAGAGGGCTGATGGAAGCTCAAAGGCACACTGATGACTGTTATCCTGAACGAAGAATATAGATGCAAAGCATTCTATGTAATCCATAACTTCATAGCTGTTTTTATGACCTTTGTACTATATGATTGTGTGTGATTGCTGTGCTGAGAACTATGAGTGTGCCAAAACATCATTTTCATTTTCAACAATTTGAAATATAGGTAAATATACTAGACTCTTGTTGTTTTTCTTTTTTTATTAATATAAAGAGAACAGATTTCATTTAACTTTAGTTCTTTGTAGCATTGTGAGTGGCTAATGATTTTGACAGTAGAATCTTGCTGAATGTTAGAATGATTGCTCTGACTTAATACTATTTTCCTCATTGCCTTGTGAAAAGACAGCCAAAGATGGAGTGTGAAATTCCCTTAGAACATTATACTGGGGGAGAAATTGTTTTACCCAGAAGTTTGCTCTAACAAACAGGACCTCTCTGCAGGGCACTGCTTTGTAACTTGCCGGTTTCAAACCCTGGTTCTGATGCAGATGAGCTGTGTGATCTTGGGAATGTTACTTAGCTCCTTCAGGTCTGTCTGCATATCTGTAAACTGAGTTGATAATGCTAACTGTATCTTACAGAGTTGTGAGGAGTCAACAATTTAGTATTTGGAGATCTTTGGTACTGCATATGTCATGTTTAAGTGCTATGTAAACTTTTTTTGGCATAGTGTTATATAAACTTTACCTGCTACCAGTTGTCACTGATGACTATACTTGGATGATGTCACATACTTTTTCTTGGTGCTGGCCTAATGGATGAGGCGGGAGATTAGTCCCTGCTGTGATTCTGTTCTGCAGTTATATGGCAACATTGAAAAATGTTAAGTCATAATACTTTGGTTAAACCATAGCATTTTGTAGGAGTCCTTGTTGTGTCAGAATCAAAATTTAATCTATATTTAGTGCTCTGGAATTTTTCCTCACACATGATTCATCTTTTGGCCATTGAGTTCCCATTTTTTCCCAGTTTTAAAATAAAGTTTCAGTTAAGCTTCTTTGATTTTGATCCTAAAGAATTGCCTCTGCCTCGCTTTATGATGTCAAAGAACGATGGTGACATACGATTTGGGAACCCAGCTGAGCTGCATGGAACCAAGATTCAGATTCCATACTTAACTACGGAAAAAAATTCCTTCAAAAGAATGGACGATGAGGAGAAACAGGTAAGCAATCTGCTCAGGCATGTTCATTTGATTTTGACCCTGAAACCTCACATAGCAGGGCCTCATATCTGCTGTCAAGCTTCCAGCAAATCTCGCCATCTGGAACACAATTACAGCCTTGGAAGTGAGCCAGTGAAGTTTCCTTGGAGCAAGTCAGAGAGGCTGATGCATAGGAATTACCACGAGCCACCCACAGACCCTTTAGAGCCCATTTTAATGTAGAATTTTGTCTAAAATAAGGTTACTGTTCTAATATACTTACTTGATTTCTCTAAGTCAGTGGTTTCCTAAATGGGTTATTTGAAATGTAACTTTAATGATTTTTAAATAGCTCTTCTCTTTGAAAAAGAAGTCTAGAGAAAAGATTTCTCTGGTTAAATCTGTTTGGAGAATGCTGCTTCATAGCCCATCCTTGGGGGAAAGACTAAATCCTAAGTCTTGGACATTCACAGTGCACGTTAGTAAGGTAAAGCCTCAAAGAAGTCCTGTGGTAAAAAAAAAAAAAAAAAAAAGAGAGAGAGAGAGAGAGACCTGGCAATCTGCACTTATGCCACTTCTTTCACCAGGGAATCCTTTCTTGGGGAGCATGTTTGGAATGTCGTCTTGGGAAATGCTATTACCTGTTTAATCGGTTGGAAGCCAGAATAGGGAGGATGGGGCTTTTAAAATGAGACCACTGATTGCGGTAGGTAAGTGAGGATTTCTAGAGACAAAAGTGAGATCCCAGAAGGTGGACCTAACAAGAGAGAAATAGTCGACACAGTAGTGAACACTGAAGCACTACAAGGTATAGTTCCCACTTCTAATACAGATACTGAATCATCCCCAGAAGTCAAATTATATTTGACATAATGTCTTTTATGTAGAAAAGGTAAATACATTTATTATGCTTTAGGATGATTTAAACTGTAGTGTTTTGAAAACACCATGGGTACTAACAGTTTATGTTGAAAAAACTAATTGATATGGCTTATTCTGATGATATTGGATATCTGAGGTGTTGCTGTGTAAGTTCATAGTTATAATCAAGGGAGGTATAGTACATCCTGTTGAACATCCATGTGCTCTTGCTCTCATGATTCTGACACATTTTTAAAAAGTTATTCAAGATATGTATGTAGACATGTGTATATAAAGACATAGGAACTTTTGGTCAATATTTTTTGGTATGCTTTCCCACTACCAGCAATAGGAGACCCTGGATCCACTGTCACGTAGTGGTTGATGTCCTGGAAAATTTGCAGGTCCAGTCCCTGGCTGTGTGAATGAGGATGCATCTTTCCACTTCAAGGTGGATTTTTGCTAGGCCCACTCAGTCTATGGATATGAGGTCATGCTTCAAAGCAAAAACATGTTTTTCTTTTTCTTGGAGAAGAGTATTTAATATTTCAGATCACATATTTCTTATTAAATTAAGGGAGCCTATGTAGTCTCTGTATTGATAAAAATACTATTTCCGTGTTACTTGGATAACCCAGAGTTACTAGTCTATTGGTTAAAAAAAAAGAAGGAAATCCAGAGGTAGTTAAGATTGCTTACCTTGCCATCAGGTCCATATATGAATTGAGATTCAAATTGTAGCTTGTTAAGGCTTTATCCTAGTATTTAGGTGTAAATTCATTGCTTTTCTTTAACTAAAATACCCAAAAGAAGCTACTTATGAAGAAAGACAGTTTATTTCGGCTCATAGATTTGGACATTCACAGTCCAAGATCACGTGGTCCCATTAGTCTAGTGTTTGATGAGCGTAGTAAAAGAAGGGGAAGGGTCACATGGTAAGCCAGGAAGCAGAGAGACAGGTGGGCTGAACTTGGCTTATATAACCAACCATCTCATGAGGACTACCTTTTTTTTTTTTAAAGATTTATTCGTTTATTTGAAAAAGTTACAGAGAGAGGGAGATATACACACACACGCATACACACACAGAGATCTTCCATCTACTTGTTCACTCCCCAGATGGCTGCAGTGGTCAGGGCTGGCCCACGCCGAAGCCAGGGGCTTCATCCAGGTCTCCCACATGGGTGGCAGGGGCCCAAACACTTGGGCCATCTTTTGCTGCTTTCCCAGGTCATCAGCAGGGAGCTGGATCAGAAGTGGAACAGCCAGGACACGAACTGATGCCCACATGAGTTGCTGGTGTAGTAGGTAGTAGCTTAATCTGTTGTACCACAACACTAGACCCAAGGACTACCTTCTGAGGGCAAGTCCCCAGTGACCTGAAGACCTCCCACTAGGCCCATTTCCCAACATAAATGGATCTAGCTTCCATTCTTAATCCATCAACCATGTACATGAATCTGTTAACTGTTAGCATAAGACTTGGGGTCTAAATGTCTGCATAAGTTGGGGAGGCAAATCATATTCAGACTGTAGCATTAGGAGGAGGCTAATTGGAGTGGATAACCCTTAATGAATTGTTTTGCAATCTCAGTTTAAGAAAAAAACTGACATTTTACTTTGGAATAGTAAGCTCTAAGAACATTTAGCACTAAACATATTTATTTATATATTTCATTTATTAATGAGAGAAAATGGAATCTGCCCACACAGAGTTGATAACTGGGGACTATGTGAGTAGTGTCTTTTATTTTCCAAAGGAAAATATTGTTGGAATAATTGAAAATGTTTTGGTCTGATTTTAGTAATTTTGGTGGTTCAGCACTGGTGAGACATTATTCTCAAGGAGACTTTTAAATGCTTAGACACTAATTTTTAATCATCATGCATCTGTTGGGTCAGCATCTGTAGAGTTGCATTGTGCTTCCTAACTGCAGCTCTGAATGCCAGGCTTCTCAAATGGTTGCCTCTGAACTCTACTCTGGTTTTTTGAAGCAGGAAACACAGTCTCCCACGATGTCACCCCTCGCCTCCCCTCCTTCTTCCCCACTTCATTACCAGAGGGTGCCCTTGAGCCATGGCTACAGCAAACTGCGGAACAGCACGGAACAGATGCATCCAGGTAAGCCGACCTGGGGGCCAGCTGTTCCAGGCAGTGTTTTAGAGATTCCTTAATCTACCAAACAGCAGCACCACTGGGTGCCTAACTTCCTGATTTAATGACCTCTGACTTGGAAGTGTGGCTGAATTTAATATTTCAAGGCAAGATTTTTAGAAAATGAAATTAAACATTTCAGTAATACTGCATCTCCTGTCCTAGAAAGTACTTCATCTTTAGACTTCTAAACAACTATTAAGATGATTTGATCTTTCATACATATTTAATAGGAATATAGCATGTTAAGGGTTTGTATTTTTTTGGAATTGTTATTTCTTTCTGTGAACATACCAAACATATTTCTGTAATAACTGCTTTTATGAAACTTTTTTTTTAAAATTTAGTTGACAGGTAGAGCTATAGACAGTGAGAGAGAGAGAGACAGAGAGAAAGGTCTTCCTTCTGTTGGTTCACTCTCCAAATGGCCGCTACGGCCGGTACTGCAACGATCCAAAGCCAGGAGCCAGGTGCTTCTCCTGGTCTCCCATGCGGGTGCAGGGCCCAAGCAGTTGGGCCATCCTTCACTGCACTCCCAGGCCATAGCAGAGTGCTAGACTGGAAGAGGAGCAACTGGGACTAGAAACCGGCACCCATTTGGGATGCCGGCGCCGCAGGTGGAGGATTAACCAAGTGAGCCACGGTGCCGGCCCCTTATGAAACTTCTTAAAAAATGTTGACTATGCAAAATCACAAGAGTTAATCCTATCTTTAGAGTGAACACATAAAGGATAATATCAAGCGGCTATGTCCTGGAATAAGAATAAAGAAAATGCTAGAAATAACATTTTGCTGAGAAGTTCCTCACATGTACGGTTGTGAGGTTGCCTGCTTGCTCACATTTATGCTTTGCTGGCCGTGTTAGCAGTCAAATACACTAGTGGGTTCTCAGGATGACTTGCAGGGTTGGCTGCCCAGACTGTAAGATTTAAAACTCTGTGAATTCACTGCAGCATCTTGTCCGCCTGAGGTTCATAGTCCTGGTTTAAGGTATGACTATTTAAGGTCTTCTAGAATTGACTATCCTTGTAACCTCCATTGTTTATTTTGTGGGCTACAGCTAAAATTGACCCAGTTTCTGCAGGTTTTGGATGCATTGAAAATAGTGGTGACTTGTAGAGGGTCACAGAAACAACAATATATGTTAGGCTGAACTAAAATGAGGCTGTAATCTTGCATAATGGAAATAGCTTTGGGTTGAAATCAGAAGGTATGGGTTTCCCTGACTAACTCTTGATATTGGGTAAGCTGTGAACCAATCTTTCGTCTCCTGTCTTACAGTGGACCAAGAGTGTCCTGTGTTGGTGTTAGGAGGATTCAGCGAGAACATAAGTTTAAATTTGGAAATTCAGTCCTATGCAAATGCAAGATGATATTGCTAATGGATATTAACAAGAAATCATTCTCCTGCAACTAGAATATCCCATTGGTGTCGGCAACTAAATAGAATTGAGAATTCTTCATTTTCCTCTTACAGTTTTCCCTACTTGATTTCTATATTTTTAGAAGTGAGGTTTTGCTTTTTCTCTTTCTAATCATATTTGACCTTGGACATTGATAATTAAATTTTTATTTATTTATTTGAGAAGCAGAAAGAGCAAGTGCATTCCCATCTGCTGGTTCAATCCCTAGATGCTCACAATGGCCCCTAACTGCAGCCAAAGATGGGAGCAGGGAAGTGAGTTTGGGTCTCCCATGTGGATGGAAGAGATTCAAATATTTGACCCATCACCAACTGCCTTCCAGGGTCTTCATTAACATGAAATCAGAATCAGGAGCAGAGTCAGGACTCCAACCCAGGGACTGTGACATTGAATATGGATATCTTTTTTTAATAAAAGATTTACTTATTTATTTGAAAGTCAAGAGTTACACACACGGAGAGAAGGAGAGGCAGAGAGAGGGAGAGGGAGAGAGAGATTGAGAGAGGTCTTCCCTCCACTGGTTCACTCCCTAATTGGCTGCAATGGCCGGAACTGTGCCAATCCGAAGCCAGGACCCAGGAGCTACTTCCGGGGCTCCCATGCGGGTACAGGGGCCCAAGGACTTGGGCCATCTTCTGCTGCTTTCCCAGGCCATAGAAGAGAACTGAATTGGAAGTGAAGGAGCCGGGACTTGAACCAGCGCCCATATCTGATGCTGGCACTACAGGCAGTGGCCTTACCCTCTATGCCACAGTGCTGGCCCCCATAGGTATGTTAATCACTAGGGCAAACACCTGGTGTTGATTTTTAGATTTTTTTTTTTTGTTCTGCTGAATTGGTCTATCACTGAGTTCTACTAGTGATATATATATATATATATGTGTGTGTGTGTGTGTGTGTATATATATATATATATATATATATATATAAAGTATTTGTACTCTCTCTCTACTTCCTGCCCCATTCTTTCCTCATTCCATCCAAACTGGGCTTGAGTTCAACCAGTGGCAAAGAAGCAGCCTGCTTCTTTCTGGATTCTCAGGAATTCATGCCATGGCTGTCTATGCCTTCATTCCTTTTTATACATTTTAAAGTGAAGTAATATTGATATATGATACAATTCATACATTTTTAACCTTCATTTTGAGTTTTAATAAACAGATAAGCCCCTGTAGCTACTAGTTAGATCAAGAATAGAGCATTTCCATTATACTAGAGATATCCCTCTTCAGTCCCTCCTGGCCCCCACCTCGTGCAAGCATTGTTCTGATTTTTATCACCATTGATTTAGTTTTGCCTCCTCTAGAACTTCATATAAGCTGAAAAACTGCAGTTCTATGTGTCTGCTGTCTTTCACTCTGCAAAATGGTTGAAATTCATTCATATTACTATATCAGTATTTTGTTCCACTTTATTAGTAGTATTCCATTGTAAAAAGGTACCACAATTTGATGATCCATTCTCCTGTTGACGGGTACTTGGGTTGTCTCCAGTGTCTGGTTGTTATGAATATGGATACTATAAACATTATGTATTAGTCTTTTTGTGTCATATCCTGTTGTTTCCCTGGTACCTAGGAGTGAAATCATTGGGCTTTGGAATAGATTTATAAGAAACTGCCAAAACATTCAGATTGACATTGAACATCAGAGTGATAAAATCTGCAAGGTTTTTTTTTCAATACTCCTTTCTTTGGAGAAAGATGGTACTTCTAGTTCCTTATTAAACCTCTTACAAAGGGGTTGAAGAATTATTTGTTTCATATTGAGTGGAACGTTTTGGATTTCCTTTGGGAAGAAAGAGTCAAGGCAATAAGTAATACCTCCTGATTCAGATACAGTTGAGGAATTAGAAGTCATAGCAAAGATGGACTGAATGTCAGCTTTGTTACTGCTATAACTGATCAGATCACATACCTTTGATTTGTGGCCAAATGGACTTCGAACAGTTACCTTTACAATCACAAGCAGACTTAACTAGCCAAGGCTCCCCATGAGTTGGAAGGGAAAACCTACCTCTTCAAAAAATGACTCATATGTAGCTGAGTCTTCTTCCAAGCCTTACTAAAGTGATATATTTGTCTCCTCCAAGGGAAGACCCTTGTACGTGAGAGATTGGAGCCAAGGACCAGATGGGTCCATATGTCTCAACCGGGTAGTAGAAGCTCCCTCATTTCTTATGGGAGAAGCACATGGGATTTGCTTCCTGGGGAAAGGTCATGGACACTAGAATTCTGACCATGCTATGGTTTACTGTGTTTAAAATATTTCAGCAGAGTGTAGTCGATTTTAAGGGTTTAATTTGGCATTCTACTGATATGGCATGATTTTAAAAATTCTACTTCTCAGAAGACATCTGCCTACCAGCAGAGACTAACTTTTAGTATTTGGATTATATGCTCTCTGTGGAGGTTTATTTTGTAGGTTATTTATTTTTATTCTTAGCAGATTCTGAAAATTCACTTAATGCTTTACCAGGTAATGGTTTTAATATTTTAATGTGTGTTAATGTATTTTAGTGTGTCATTGTATTCTGGTTACTAGGAAGAAATACAAAAAGCAGAAATGAATCTGAGTGTTTTGCTGTCCTTTTTCTTTTTAAGAGATTATTTATTTACTGAAAGACAGAGTTATAGAGTGGAGGGAGTCAGAGAGACACAGAGAACTCACTCCCCAAATGGCTGCAATGGCAAAGGCTGGGCCAGTCTGAAGACAGGAGCCCAGAACTCTATCTGGGTCTCCCATGTAGATGTAGGGACCCAAATCACTTGGGTCATCCTCCACTGCTTTCCCAGAGGCATTGGCAGGTAGCTAGATCAGAAGCAGAGCAGCTAGGATTTTAATAGACGCTTCCGATATGGGATGTAGGGGTCTCAAGTGGCGGCTTAACCTACTGGGCTACAATGCTGGCTCCTGGCTTGTTGTTCCGGATGTGCATTGTTGTATAACCTCATTATGCTAGAAAAGGTCAAACTATGCCATATTTGCTGCCATAGGAAGCTGCTTTGCTCTCTACCTAGATTTATTTTTAAGTAAAGCTACAGAAAGAAAGCATTTTACTTACTTATGTTTTCAAAAACTTGAACTATGTAACCCACAGAAATGAGAAATGGTTTCAACTTGGATGATAAGTTTTCCTTTCTGTTAGAGCTGAATACTACCTGGTTATGTTTAACTGTCTCCCTGTAATCTTGTCAGGGTCATCATTAAGTTCTCTGGAAATAAAAGGGGTAAAAAATGTATTTATTTTTGTGACTTACAAATTTCTCTTAAAGGAACAAAATCATGTTTCAATAGTTTAGTTATTGACTAGTAGAATGATAAATATATACTTATTTGTTTTTTGTTGTTTCTACTTTTTAACATTTTGTCTGATAAGGGAGACTGCTATTTATTTTTCAAAAATAAACAGTAATGGTGATTGTGTTCAAAATGTATATTAGTTTTCTTCTTGGGCAGTGGATGATGAGAGGAAGACCTTGCAACAGGGAGCTATGTAGGGAACTTATTGATGTTTAGAATCAGAGCACTTCCACCATGTGCTTTGCTAACTATTCTTGTTATCTATCCCAGTTGAGGTTCTCACTGTTCTGCCCTCACATTCTATTCTTAATTGAAACCTGTTGTAAATATTTTTCTGCTCTATCATGAACTGGCAGAATTAGTTAAATATCTTTATATTGTTCAGTAAAGGTGCACCCAAGAGCATCAGAGTTTGCTTATCCTACGTGGCTCTTTGAGCATAAACAAGAGGTTCTAGAAAACTTCACGGAAAATGTGAATGATGAAAAAACCATGCGTGGATCTCAAAATTGTGTTATACCAAAGCAATCTTATCTTTTGATTCCAGTCTTTCATAAACTTTCAAAATTCCATTGTACTCTAATTCCTCTGCTAGTTCTTCCCTGAAACGTAGACACTGTAAACCAGTTTGAATGTGAAGTCATAAATTTTGGGTGGAATCTTTGCATACCTTGCTGATTTTTCCTCCTACTGTTTCAGCTCCATACGAAGCTAGACAGCCACTTGTCCAGCCTGACGGACCCTCATCAGGGCCCCCAGGAACCAAGCCCCTTCGGCATCAGGCTTCTCTTATCCGGGTGAGTGATGATGTGGGATTATGCCAGAGGGAGAGTGGAGATAAGATTTGGACTGTGGGGACATGGATTTTTTAAAAAAAGCTTTATTTATTTGCAAGTCAGAGTTACACAGAGAGAGAAGGAGAGGCAGAAAGATAGGGACAGAGAGAGAAAGGTCTTCCATCTGCTGGTTTACTCCCCAATTGGCCACAACAGCTGGAGATGCGCCAATCCGAAGCCAGGAGCCAGAAGCTTCTTCTGGGTCTCCCACACAGGTGCAGGGGCCCAAGGACTTGGGGCTATCTCCCTCCCTCCCTCCCTCCCTTCCTCCCTCCCTTCCTTCCTTGTTATAGACAGTGAAAGAGAGAGAGACAAAGAGAAAGGTCTTCCTTCTACTCGTTCACTCCCTTAATGGCTGCCCCAGCTGACGCTGCGCCAATCCGAAGCCAGGAGCCAAGTACTTCTTCCTGGTCTCCCATGTGGGTGCGGGGGCCCAAGTACTTGGGCCATCCTCCACTGCCCTCCAGGGCCACAGTAGAGAGCTGGACTGGAAGAGGAGCAACCGGGACTAGAACCCAGCGCCCATATGGAATGCCAGCACTGCAGGCCGGGGAATAACCAAGTGGGCCACAGTGACAGCCCCTGGGCCATCTTCTACTGCTTTCCCAGGCCATAGCAGTGAGCTGGATCAGAAGTGGAGAAGTGGAGCAGCCAGGACTCGAACCAACGCCCATATGGGATTCCGGCACTGCAGGCAGCGGCTTTACCTATTACACCACAGCAGCAGCTCCTTGGATTTTTTTTTAAAGATTTATTTATTTGAAAGGGAGGGAGGGAGGGAGAGAGAGAAAGAAACACGTATACACACACACACACACACACACACACATTTTCCATTCACTGGTTTACTCTCCAAATAGCTGCAATAACCAGCGTGGGGCCAGGCTGAAGCTAGGAGCCTGAAAGTCCATCCGGGTCTCCCACATAAATGCAGGGATCCAAGCACTTGGGCCATCTTCTGTTTTCCAATGTGTATTAACAGGGAGCTGTATTGGAAGTGAAGCAGCTGGGACTTGAGCTGGCACTCCATATCTGATGCCAGTGTTGCACACAGCTGCTTAACCTGCTGCCACAATGCTGGCCCCAGGGGGAAATGGTGTTCTGATAGGCCTTCTTTTTTCACTATAAGGAAGATATAAAATTGCCTCCTCATGTAAATATTAAGCTTCCATCCGCTGGTTCACTCCTCAGTTGGCCACAATGGCCGGAGCTGCACCAATCCAAAGCCAGGAACCAGGAGCTTCTTCTGGATTTCCCTCGTGGATGCAGGGACCCAAGCACTTGGGCCATCTTCTACTGCTTTCCCAGGCCATAACAGAGAGCTAGATCAGAAGAGGAGCAGCCAGGACTAGAACCGGCACCCATATGGGATGCCAGCGCTTCAGGCCAGGGCTTTAACCCACTGCGCCACAGCGCCAGCCCCCAAGCTTCACTTTTTCTAAATCAGCATGTGTTGGCTCTGCGTTATTCTTTATTATTACTCATTCAGTGCCTAGTTAGCTTTTTCCCATTTGTTTTGTGCTTCTAGTCATGTGGTAAGGCTTTGGAATGCAGTGGTAGTTCTATATTCTCTCACATAGCCTACGCCAATGCTGTTTGGAGAACAGTTACTTTATAAGTAGCCGCAGGTACTGTTTCCTGTATGTAAGAGGGGTAAGAAAAATATTATGGCAAAAGAATGGGTGATATCTTAGTTTCTCCTAGCTACACCACGACTCAGGCCTTTGCTTCCCTCCCTGCAGTGTTGTCCCTTGGCTGTAGAGTTACCATCTTCTTGTGTGTTTGCAGCTGTTGTCTTAGGGGCTTATTTCAGAGTCCTGTGCTAGAGGAGTCAGATTGTCAAAGAAGGTGGAGTGTGTGTGTGTGTATATGATAGAAATTACAGAAAGCTGGGTTTACTGTTTGACACTAAAGACAAGAGGAAGTGGGGTAGTTTGTATAATATTTCAATTGTGTAACACAGGAAGAAGGATCATTTATCCACAGGCAGTTCGACTCAAAAATAGAAGGGTGGTGTCAGACACTCCCAGAGAGAAGTGGGCTGCTCATCTGGAACAGAATAAACAAAGTCTGAACAAGTTCCTGTGGCTCACTTAATACCTTCTGGGATGGAGCACCGTGTTAGACATGGTACAGAACTTGATCTTCTCAGGTGTGTAACAAGGAACTTTCTTAAAGATAATAATTGAGCCACACTTTTTGCATTTATATTTAACATTTCCTATAACTGTAAAATCTAGATACTGCTGTACTGTCGACATAGATGATTTGACTGTGGCCAAGAGAGTTGAAACAGTCCAAGGTTTCATTCATAACTTGTAAGTGCCAGAGTCATAATTTGAATTTAGGCCTGTCCAAAATCAGGACCTGGACTTTTGATGACTTTTCTCTCCCAAGAGTCTCGTATTACAAGGAGATTAGGTTCTGGAGTTGCTGCATAAACAAACAGTGGGAGAAGCCAAAAACATTCCTGAAAATCCCTTAGTAGTACCACATTGAAGAACCAAGATGCCATTCTCTCCTGGGGCTGGTAGAGCTCGGTTTTATCCCCAGCTGTCTCTTCAGCTGGGCCTCAGATATAGTAGTTGGCTGCATTTAGAGGTCTTGTGGTACAAAAATATGCGCATTAAAACACGAGGATCACACCCATCGTGGAGGGATGTTTACATTAGGGAAGGAATTGGAGGGACTGAGATTCATCCCAGATTCTCTGGGGTGTGGCTGTGCAGGTTCCTGCATAGTGTGTTCTGGTTCCAAAGAAGCAGTGAACCCTCAGCTTTGCACTGGTAGGACTGAGTTTGCTGGACCATTTCTACTGAGCTCCCTGACTGGGACAGCTAGAGACGCTCACTTGGATTGGTTCCCTGTGACTTCTTTTCTTTTTCTCTTTTTTATTTTTTTGACAGATAGAGTTAGACAGAGAGAGAGAGAAACAGAGAGAAAGGTCTTCTTTCCTTTGGTTCACCCCCAAATGACTGCCGTAGTCAGTGCGCTGCGCCAATCCGAAGCCAGGGGCCAGGTGCTTCCTCCTGGTCTCCCATGGGGTGCAGGGCCCAAGCACTTGGGCCATCCTCCACTGCCTTCCCGGGCCACAGCAGAGAGCTAGATTGGAAGAGGAGCAACCGGGACAGAACCGGCACCCCAACTGGGACTAGAACCCGGGGTGCCGGCGCCGCAGGTAGAGGATTAGCCTAGTGAGCCGTGGCGCAAGCCCCCTGTGACATCTTTTCTAAATCTCTAGGTCCTCCTTTCTGCTGACAAACATGCTTCTCGATCTCTTCACTCAACTAATACTTAGTGAGTACCTACTAATTGCCAGGTACTGTGCTGAGTGTACAAAAATGAGGTACAACACTTGTAGGCCCTGCCCTCATGCAGCTTATAGGCTGTTGTTAACCAAACCATCACAGAGTAAATATATAATGATGTGTGATATAAATGTGAATTATACTGTGCTTTGAGGATATAAAATGAGGTGGCGTATGACTGACCCTAGATGGGCAGAGGTGATCAAAGATCTAGGGGAAATTAATGTTTGGGCTGAAATGAAGATATATGAGTGTTAAGCAGGTGAGCAGGTGAGAATGGAGGAACAGGCAAGAAGGTAAAGGGGACCACATATACCAGATAGTTTTCATGTGCTTACCATCTGATACACATCATCTCTTAGGTACTCACAGCTATCTATCTTATGAGTTAGTCATTGTTGCTATCCTATTTTTAGATGATAAAACCTGAGGTTTAAGGACATTTAATTTCCCTCAGGGTCACAGTTAGGAAAGAGTAGGACTGGAGTTCAAACACTGGTCATGATTCCCTGGTGTCTTGCTCAGGAACTGGATGGGTGGTGATGTCATCTGTTGAGTTAGGAAGCCCTGGATGTAAAACTGGTGTTGAGTTCAGTGTTGGATGTCAGAAGTTGAGCTTTTGAGATAACCTCAAAGAAGTCTCATTGAATCTGTAGGTTATATGGCTCTGGGGCTTTGGTGAGAACTGAGGGTGGACATAGGCACTTAGTAGCAGTTGGCCATCAGAAGGTTACATGGTATAGCCCAGAAGAAACCAGATAGTTTCTCACCCAGGTCTAGCCAAACTCTGTGTGACCTTGGCAAGTTCCTTCTCTCTTCTGTATCATGGATGACTTGAAATGAATTTAACAGTTCATTTTAACCATCTGCAACAGTCTGCTTCCCTTAATGTTGTTTGGCATCAGTAGAGGTGCCACCTCCTGTTTGGAGCATAGCCTTCTGTTTAAGAGGAGAGCAAGGTTTCTTGCTCAGGACAGCAGTCTGCCGTCTTCATGGCAGATGTATTTTCCTTTCCTCAGTTCTTAGGTTTCCTTCTTGTGCCTGTCAGCTTAGCTTGGCTGGACTCCATGTTCCAGAAAGCAAAATGCCAAGCTGAATTAGTCATGAAGATGAGGGGATTGAAGTGAAGGTTCTTGGTGGTTGAGGCTTAGTATTTATCGGGCATGGTGCTAGGCTTCACTGGGTGACTCATTCCCCTCATGTTGCTGTGTTTATGTGCTCATGGCATCCCCCCTCTATCTTTCAGCTTCCTCTGTATGCTTGTATTAAAATCTTCTTGTCTGATTAGAAGGAGACATGGCCTCTGGGTCCTAGAGGGGGCCTTTACGGACCTCCATCAGTGCTGCTGCAACCCTTGGAGTTGGCACTTTAGAAGTGCTTATGCCAAATTCAGTGCTCAAACTTTGGAATGAGTTGTCTTTTTGCCTAGTATTTTAAGAATTTCACTTCTTTTGTTCGAATGCTGGTTTTTTTTTCCCTTTGGAATTTCAGATGCCAAGCATATCCTGTGTTGGTGAATGGTTGATAGTGGTTTCTTAAAAAAATCAGAAATCTTCCTTCCTGCTTCCTCCTTTTATCATGTGTTTGGAGGTCATTTTGTGGTTTGCTTTTCAGCGGTTATCCTAAATAAAGATAGGCAATAGTGGGTAACAT